ACGCCTGGACCAAAAACGCAAGAGGTGTACTTCAGAGTTCGCTCTTCCAGCTCTTCTTCCCCTTCGGGGAGGGTTGTATCTCTGCTCCTTTTTGTTCCAAGCCTCCTGCTCTACCCGACTGGCGACAAGCCAGGGACCATGCCAACATCCCCCCATACCATCACTGTCGGAAAACACTTTGCGGGAAAATCTTGGACCGTGCGCGGGCGCCACGCGATCAATATGTAGTTTTCGTTGCCAGGATGGCGAAGCCAAAGATCTGACGATACGACCTGATCATGTTTGTGCCATCTTGCGCTGCTGGGGCCGTGTTAAGGCAGGACTGGCTCATCCCGAGACCGTCTTTGGGCATTGCTAGGACATCTATGAGGCTTTCCTGAGCCATCTCTCAGTGTGGCACAAAACATGTTTTTCGCTTCGTGCCCCCACCCCCGAGTGGCCTTCGGCCCATCCTGTCATCATGTCTGGGTTGTGGGTCGCCGCCTCGTGGAGGCCTGTATAATTCAACTGCAAGGCCTTTGGGGTGCAACTCGCGGGCAATTTGGAGGCCAATTGAGGCCTCGCAGGGGCCGTTTGGGGACCTCTTTTGGATTTCTTTGGCGCCTCTGGGGTCGTCTTGGGGGATTGTTTGGGGCCGTTTGCCGGGTGCGGTGGCTTTCGTGGGGCGGAGGGCTCAAACTGTGAGGTCGAATTTCCCCTCTTGGGCGGCTCTCGGGGCCCTCTTGGAGCGCATGTGGGCCGTCTTGGGCGTCTCATGGACCGTCTTTGGGCCATCGTGGGTTTCCTGGTGCCCTATTGTGGGGCCTCGTTATCGGCCTTGGGGCGTTCTTGGGGGCACACATGCACACATCCAGGTCATGTGAAACCTATGTGTATATGTATCCGAAGGCTCCCTTGTGGGGCCACCAGGCTGTAGGGCTAAGGTTCGCAGCTTCTTCTGCCAATTGCAGCTTCGAGTTTCCACTGTTACAGTTCTTACTGTTCATGTTGATGAACCGCGCGAGGGGGGGAGGCCCAAAACAGACATGTTTACCACGCCCAAAACGTGTTGTCTGAATTGCTGGGGTGAATAAAAATTGACACCCCTCATGCAGATCGACGGGGTCAGGGTCCAAGAACCTATAGAATTTGTTACATTTCTAGCATTCAGTGGCACCCCTCACGCAGATCGGCCGGGTCAGCGTGCAAAAACACACGGGATTTGCCACGTTTCCGAAATTCCGTGGAGCCCCTCACGCAGATCGGCGGGGTCAGGGTGCAAAAACACAAAGGATTTGCAACGTTTCTAACATTCGGCGGCACCCCTCACGCTGATCGGCAGGGTCAGGATGCAAAAACACAAAGGATTTGCTACGTTTCTGAAATTCGGCGGCACCCCTCACGCAGATCGACGGGGTCAGGGTCCAAAAACATATAGAATGTCATACATTTCTGACATTCGGTGGCACCCCTCACGCAGATCCGTAGGGTCAGGGTCCAAAAACACAAAGGATTTGCTACGTTTCTGACATTCGGTGGCACCCCTCATGCAGATTCGTAGATTCAGGGTCGAAAAACAAACAGGTCCCGACACTGCTTCACGACGGCGCGCAGACCTCATGATTTAGCTTCTGCATCTCCCATTATCCGAGAGAGGGGGCCGGCGGCAGGGGGCGAATCCCTTATGGATACATATATATATATATATATGTGTATATATAGATATATACATATACACGGATGCATACAAGTGCAGAGCAGTGCTGTACGATCGTCGACCAGTCCTGAGCGTCTTCGGAGAAGAAACAACCACTAAGTATCGCCCATGGACGCCCCAAAACAGTTGTTGTATGTGCATCGTTGTGCATGTCGCCAAACCCACTTGTCCGCACAAGAAAATTAGTTGACGTCACATCATCTTGAACATTGTGCAGCCAGCTCGCACATATGGCCTGGAAGCAAACTGGAACACTACATTTCGATTGCTGCTTGCCACTCGGAACATACATGTGTTGTGTCCTACACCTTGGGGACAACATTAACACTTCTCCACGTGCCACGATACAGCGTGGCAGTGGTTTCCAAAACTCTGGGGGGCATAGTCAACGCATACAACTTCCCTTGCCGATAAAGCCCGTGGTGCATCTCCCTTCGCCCCTGCATGGCACATGTGCTAGTTGATATAGAAGGTGTATCCTCCATGGTACGGTGTCCGCTGGACATACGATTCGCAAATGCATCTTTCTTCATGCACGTTCTGGCAATCGTCTGCCAAGGTGTCGGCCTGATTGGTGTGTTCCACAAGGTGCCCTTGCGCATATTGAACTTAATTTGGTCGCGATGACACTTTTCTGCGCAACGCTGGCACTGCTGGCGGAATCTGATCGGATCAGAAATCGAAGCGCCAATTGTGCCCAGTGGAAACTTAAGGATTCTGGCGACGATAAGGCGACGATAAAGCGGCGAACGGCGAGGATGACAACGTGGATGCTGGGGGGAAACGATGAGAGCAGGAACAGCGAGTAGGAAAACAAGCGCGAGGACCGGGAGGAAGAGATGGAAGAGGCCAGATACGAGGAGGAACGAAACGGACGCGGAGGGGAATGGACAGGCGGAGACTCGAAGGACGACGACGATGACGACGAAGGATGACGGTAAGGAAGCCGGGGAAAAGGAAGTCGAAGAAGGGGGGTCCTCATGATCGTTTGGAGATACCCCTCGGGGCCAACTGGGATTATCCTGGGGCATCCTAGGGGCCCCTTGGGGGCCTGTCGGGGTCCTCTTGGGGGCTGTTGGCGTATTTTTGAGCTGTCTCGGCGCGTCTTGAAGGCTCTGCCGGGGCTCCATCAGGCCGTCTTGGCGCCGTCTTGGGTTGCCCTGTGCCGTCTGAGGACATCCTGGAGTTCTCCTGGAGGCCTTTCGGGCCATTCTGGGGTACTCCAGGGGGGGGCTCTGGGGCTCGTCTGGGCCACGGTGGGCCTCTCCAGGGACGACTCCAAGACGACGCTGGTTCGGAGACCCCTCCGAAACCAGTGTTTGAGGATGTCCGTCGCGAAACTGTCGTTTTCAAAAATCCGCCACACCTGCTATGTGATGTGTTCACTGAAGTAAATCCGGGGAGGTGCGGAGCGGGCTTGGGACCCCCCTGGCCCTGTGGCCCCCTAGGCGCCAAAGCGGCCCCACAGCGGCCCCAGAGAGGGCCCCCAAACGGCCGACGACGGTTCCCCAAATCACCCACGCGGCCCCGCAGCGGCTTCAGACGCCCCCAAGATCGCTTTCAGTCCCCAGGAGGCCCCCCAAACGGCCAGAGACGACTCTAAATCATTCTCGGTACCCAACAAGCTTCTAAATCATCCTCGCTACCCAACAAGCTCCTGAAGAGGACCCCCGAAATGGTTCCGTTCAGCAGAAATCGTTGCATTCCATATGGGGAACTGGCATGTCAAACAGATTCGTGCTTTGTACTTCGGGAAATCCAACACGGCCCCAACAGCTTCCAATATCGCCCCAATAGGGCTCCAAGACAGCTCCAGACAGCCCCAAAACGGCCAAAGAGACGCTCGAAACGACCCATGAGGACGCGTGGGCGTAGAGGGCGCGCGGGCGACAAACAAATCTTGAGGAATCCAAATAACCTCAAACTGATTGTTGTTGTGGTGGTGGTTGTTGTCGTTGTCGTGGTGGTGTGTGGTGGTGTCCGAATACAAGAGCGAACCGTTTTAAACTGATTGTTGTTGTGGTGGTGGTTGTTGTCGAACTATCGTTCCTAATGGTAATAACAATACTTACGGCTGGTCCCCACCTAACCGATTAAAGTGCCTTTCTCTGGGGCTCGCACCCTGTTTTTTTACAATGGGCAGTGTGAGGTCATCGAACTGCGTTGATGGGCCCCGGGCTACAACAACATCAACAACATACATAATAACAACAACAACAACAACAACAACAACAACAACAACAACAGCAACTGCTCCTGCCTGATACTTCCTCACAATGTATTGTGAGATCGCGCTTTCGCGCGGGACCTCCCACAAATTATGCCAGACTCACGCTCTCGCGCGGGCCCCTCGCCAATTTATTCAAACGCCGCGACCTCGACACCCAGGATTCACGCTTTCGCTCTGGCCATTTCAACGGTTTACTAAGGAATCGCGCTATCGCTCGAGCTCTCCTTTCGCAATTCATGCAGCCTTCACGCTTCAGCAACACGCCTTCTCCACCTGGCCGCTTGGGCCCGCCTTCCCGACCCGCTAGGGTCTATCCGCCCGATGGGCCCGTCTGGTCCTGCCACGTGCGTTCTGCTCCTAGCCCCCTCCTGCTAATCAATCCCGTGCTCCATTCTTTTCCCTGCCCCTTCCATGCGTCCTCTTTTCCCCATGTTCAGGGGCTGCCCAAATTACGCGCGGCAGGTAAGGAAGATATATCCCCAGGGGGGCACGATCGAAGACGAAGAGGGCGGATACCGAGGGTTTGAGATATACGTGATGAAAAATGACACGCGAGCACGTAAGAGCGAACAATATAAAATGTTTGTTGTTGTTGTTGTCGTCGTCGTCGTCGTTGTTGTTGTTGTAGTTGTAGTTGTAGTTGTAGTTGTAGTTGTAATTGTTGTTGTTGTTGTTGTTGTTGTTGTTGTTGTTGTTGTTGTTGTCTGTTTCGCCCGCGACCCTCCCGCGACACACCCGCGACCCACCCCGCGACCCGCCCGCGATCCACCCCGCGGGGCGCTACGTGTTGATCAAGCCCGTGGATCTCCAGAGGCATGAAGGGACCAGCTTGTTATCCTGAGTCCCTTACTGACGGTCCTTGGGCCTAGTTAGAGCCCCTGGACGCCGAAACCTATCAAAAACCAACCAGTCGTGATCTTTTCACGAAGCGAAAATGTCAGGGCCCTCGCGCCACCACCTAGCGCTCCTGGAGAATGACGGCTCCCAACGCCGGTCATCCCCGCGCCGATGCGGGTGACCTGCTGGAGGGAGAAGCGGCGCAACAGCCAGCAGCGGGGCGGGGGAAGGGGCCGCCTCCGCGCTGAACTGGAAGCCCGTCATCCCGCCCTGCAGTTCGGGGAAGGCGATGCCGTCGGGGGAAGCGGGAGGGGAGGGGGGGGAGAAAAGAGATGGAGGAGTGATAGCGCGGAGGAGGGAGGAGCAGATAAGTACGAGTACGGGAATGCGTCGTGTAGGATGTCGTCGTGGAGAGCAGGACGAGGGGGAGGTTAGGGGGAACTCACATTCCAGGGGGGGAGGGGGTGGGAATTTTGTCTGGTCGAGCCGGCCCATGCCCACTATCCATAAATTCTTCCGCCGCCGCAGTCAGCAAACCGCTATCATTCGATAGGGATCCCCCCGAGAAAAAAGCAAAACAGAACTGCGGGTGCAAGCGTTTTTTCCCCCACTTAGCACTCCTCGCGGCCATGCTTGGTTAATGGATCTGGTGCGCGGTCGTCTGGATAGGCGATCGAATCCTGCAGAACTACTCGTATTGGCTGCTCAGCTGCTGACTGCCGTCTGTTAGCAGTGAGCCGGCTCGGAAGATGACATAAAATTCGCAGAGGAAGCCATCTAACTGTGCCAGGAAGGCTCGAGCTCAGCTTGCCGGCACCGCGGGGCACGGTCGGTTAAACGGGGAGGAGCGAAGGGGCAGGGCGATTGCCGTGGCACGCGGGCACAACTTTGGACGAAGTCCTGAAATGTGCAGGGGCGAGGCGAAGCATCGCCCCCAGGGGCGCGAGGGGGTCTAAGCAGGGAGGGGAGAGGGGGAGAGATGGTGGGCAGAACAGAGAGACGCCGCCCAGGCGTCAACCTGCCAACCTGGCTTGTCCGAGCGGTGAAAGCGCATTGTATTGCACAAGCAGATGCAAGTTATTCACGCCCCATATCACAAGCTCGGAATGTGTATCGTAGTCGCAGTACGGTCAACAAACACATACAGCATAATGTTGTCAAAGCGGAGCGCACGCACAAACGTGTTCACGAGCAACAAAGAACACCCACAAAACGCGAAAGACAGTGCATGCACGAGTATCTCACGAGAAGGAATCACCTGATTTACATACATGTTACATGTGTTGCGACATTCCAAATATTCTGGCACTGGCGCTGGATGCTAGAGGTGGATGGCAGGCAGACCAGGATCACTGCACGTGCCGAAGCACTCACGCACGAAGCCTGGCGACCTCGTGCTGAGGCAAGACGCGGGGGCGGAGCTTGCAAGCAAGGGGCCCTTCGTGAAGGGGCCTGGAAGCCGCTCCTGAGAAACCGAGAAACCCTCCACGAGGCCCTCCTGCCCTTTCAGAAGCAGGCAGCCGCCCTCGCCTGACCCTCCCGTGCACGGCAAGGAGCTCCAGGGGCCCACGTCGGGACAAAGATCACGACGCCGGAGGGGGCATGGGGCATAGGGTCCGCGCCGCCGAGGGGAGGCCTCGACGTCGCCGCCGTCGTCGACGACGCGGTCGTCGTCGTCGACGTCCTCGTTGACATCGTCGCTTGAAGTCGACGACGTGGTCGTTGGCCCCGTCGTCGTCGTTGACGTCGGCGTGGCCGCCCGACACTCGCTGCCCGCCCGCCGCGCCTCGCGGCCGGCCAGCGCTGCCCCGCCCTACGCCATGGCGCGAGGCGCGGCGCGAGGCGCGGGGGCGCCGCGGGGGGGGGGGGGGGGGGGGGCCCTGTTGCTGCTGCGCCGGCCGGGCGGGGCTGCTCCTCCCCGTTGGTCCCCGCCGCGGGCGGGGCCCGCTCAGAGGCGACGATGGGGGGGGAACAGCCCAGGGGAGAGCAATGCATGTATTCAGGAGCGCCGATGATCCGTGTCTTCGAAAAGGCTCCGGGGCGAACACGTGTACTGCCCGCCCCTGGGCTGCTCGCCCCTGTCGTCGCCGCCGAGCGGGGGCGGGAGCGCCCTGCCGCTCCTCCCGGCGGGCACGCCAAGAACTGCAGGCCGGACGTGGTTGGGCGGGCCGCGCGAGAGGGCACACGGCTCCTCCGAGGGCCACGCCGCCACAGGAGTGCAGGAGGCCCTGGGTCGCGAGACACAGGACACAAGGCCACCCTTGATCTGGCAGGATCGACCTACTGATCAGGGCCGACTGTGAGTCTCCGATGCTCCGCAACTGCGGGCGCGGGGGCGGCGGGCATCTCCCAGACGTCCAGCGCCGTGCTTGTCATTCCTTGTTCTCAGCACGCGGCCCTGGGAGCCTCTCGACCAATCCCCCTTGGGACCAGGCATTTCGTCCTGGACATTTCTGCTGACGGTTCAGGGGTGAGACCGAGGAAGAATTAAAGTCCCATGGCAACGAAACAACGGCGAATGAGCGAATGCACATATCACGATGGTTGATCGCGGTCAGGGCGCTCAGGGTTCTCTTTTAGTGGGCGGACCTGAGGCCCTAAACAAGAGTGTCGAGCAGGCGTCGTCGGATTCGGGCGCGTGAAGATACGCGTGCCGAGGGGAGGTATCCAACATGCGTCTCCGCACACACGTGTTTGGCATGTGCTTTCGCATGCTCTCGGCGACAAAGTGGCCACATGGGCCTGGCGCGTGCGCGTGAAGCACGCGTTTTCACACTTCCAAGCCCCGAGGGGGCTGTCGAACTTGTGCAGTCGGCGGATGCAGCCCGCAGAAAGATGTCGAACACTGCGGCCAACGATTCTGCTGAAGGGAGTGGGCCTACCGTGCAGTCTGACGTAGGACAGGAGAACACCCTCCACGAACATGAGACCCTCCGCCAGCCAAACTGACGAACATTCGAGGTACCCTCCCCCAGGATACACAAGAGCATCCAACAAACACGAAGAACATGTGGCTACCCTCCCCGAACCGACCTCGATCTTATGCTTCGGTCCGACCGTATGCAGCACACGTGCCCAGAGACATCAGGGAGCTGTGCAGACATAGCCCTGGCGTGCGAAACATGCAATCAGTCGAGGTGCCCCCCCGCACGTGGAGATGATGGCCAGCCCTGAGTGGGCTGAATGGGTCTGGCAAGTACACTTTGCCGAGACTGCTCTGGACCAACATGCCAGCCCAGCTGGCAGCGGCCTCCGTCCCCCCAGCTTCCCGTGCGCTCACTGTGGAAAGGTGCCCGTCTCCCAGAAAGCCCTCTTTCAGCGCGTGCAAGTGCGCCTTTTTGTCGACGGCAATGATGTGTGCCCATCGTGCAGCATGAACCTTCTCTCGAAATATCCCGTGTCGTGCAGCACAGAGGGGCCCGCGGTGCCGAGACTACATGTTAGCATCCCTAGGTCCTCTCGACGCCTCGCTCGTACAGAAAAGGGCGTATCGAGACAGGGCGAGGCTGAGGCAGGGCCGATAACAAGGATAAACTCACATCTTGGCCCGCGGCTGGAAAAGGGGGTCGGCCAGGTACTCCCCCGAGGACGCCTTGCAACACAGCACCAAACGAAACGCGAACGTACGTGCGCTAATGGGGGGGTGTCTCCAACATGCGCCCCGGGCAGATGTATGTGGTACGTGTTTTCCAGTGTCCAGGCCCCCAGGAGAATGTCGAACACGCGGTCGGCGGATCACTCAAACGTGAAAAGACGTGCGCTGAGGGGGGATACCCAACATGCGTCTGGCGCGTGCGCATTTGGCACGTGTGTTCACGTGACCGCGCCCAGGGGGGGGGGCGTGTCGAACATGCAGTCGTCGAGTCCTTCAAGTGTGAAGATATGTGCGCGGAGGGGCTGTACCGCATGCGTCTGGGGCGTGCGCATGTTGCATCTGTTTTAACGTATCCACGACACCAAAGGGAGGTCAAATATGCGGTCGGCAAACTCTTCACACGTAGAAATACGCGCGGACATGGAGGAGAGTCCCACGTGCATCTGGCGCGTGAACATGTGGCATGCGTTTTCACGTAGCCGCAGGGGAACGTCGAACATGAGGTCGGTCGATTTTTCGCATGTAAGAGTGCATGAGCTGAGGGAAGGTCTCGAACATACGTCTGAGACGTGCGCATGTGGCATGTATGCTCAAATGTCCGGGTCCCCGTGACGATACCGAACTAGCGGTCCGCGGATTCTTCACACGTGAAAGCACGTGCGCGGAAAGGGGGTGTCCCACACGGCACTCGACACAAGTGAGATCGCACATGTTTTCACGCGTCCACGCCCCAGGGGACGTCGAACAGACGGTCGAGATTCTCTACACGAACAAGCCGCGGAACAGGAGGTATCCCACATCCGCCTGCCGCGAACAAATTTGGCAATTCCGTGCCCAAGCCTTCAAGGCGGATGTCGGAAATACGGTCGGCGGAGATGTCGCGCGTAAACATACGTGCGGGAAAGGGGGCATCCGACATGCGTCACGGCACGCATACGTTTGGGTAGTTGTTCTCATGTGGCTTCGACGTCAGCAAGTCTCACTTTTCAAGGACCTCGAGGGGATGTCGAACATGCGGTCGTCGTATTCTTTCAACGTGCAAATATGTGCGCGGTGGGTTATCCGACATGCGTCTGGCGCGTGCGCGTGGGTGTTTTTTATGCGTGCAGGCCCTCAGGGGGTTGTCGACCTTGCGATGCGCGAGTTTTTCGCACGTGCAAATTCGCGCGCGGAGGGGGTACCCAACATACGACTCGGAAAGCATGCGACTGGAGAGTGCTTTCATGCGCTCTCATGCTCTCAGCGCAAGAAGGGCCACTGGTGGGAAGTCACGTATGAAACGCGCGGTCTGTGCTACACGACGTAGCACAGCACACCGCACATCAAAGCCCGGCATGACATCGAATAGCATACCATAGAGAGCCAACGCGAGCGCACAGAAGACATGCCAAGATACAGCTTGACCCGAGTTCCTTGCGGTTTGTGTGTGGATGCATGACTCTCTGCAGTTCCGCCGCCCAGATCGGAGCCAGGTGCTGGCAGGACTACGATCAGCACGTTTAGCAGGACCTGGTTTGATTAGTGATGTGCGCCCGAAGGTCCCTGGGGAAATCAAGCGGTACCGATACTGCTACTCCCCAGACCTCTTCCAGAGTGCGTTCTGACCAGAATCTCGAGGCGAATCCAGCGGTGGCGACGAGGGCCTCCCAGGAGGGCGAAAACGGGTAAAACGGACGAAGGGTAGCGGCACGATTACCCTTTCCTCCTCTGACCCACCCATGCCCCAGTCCAAGCATCGCTCGACTGCACGCTGGCCAACTCTGGCGGCGCGCTCACGGGGGCAGGGGCAGGGGGAAGGCTTCTCAGAAGCAGGTGTGCTTCTAAGAAGCCCTCACCCCTCCCCCTGCCCCCCTCTGCGCGCGGCCGGCCGACAACTCCGGTCCCCGCGCCCCACTTCGGGACACAAACAAGGGGGACCTGGGGAGCGGCAGTTGGCGCAGTGTTCTCCTGACGGTTCGGAGCTGCCGCCGCCCGAAGAAGCACAGGCCACGGCTGACCGGGGTTTTGTTGTTCGAGTGGCCCAGGGGCACACAAATAAATAGGCACAGGTCCCAAGAGTCCCCCAATTTTTCGATATTGTCTTGGGTGTCGTCTTCCCCTCCGCTTCCCAAATGTTCCTAGATTGTTCGTGGGGATGTATGATTATCTGCGTCTGTGTCTATCTGTCCCTCGGGATTCGTGTTTTTTGGCGGCGCGCATGCGGGGATGCCGCGAGGTGGCAGCCTTCGAAGAGGGCGGATGGCTTCTAAGAAGGCGGGAGGATTCTTAGCAAGGCCCAGATGCTTCGAAGAACCCCTCGCAGAAGCCTTTGAACCCTTCCTGGCCCCAAAGAGGGCCGCCCCCCTCGCGCCAGCCCCCATGTGCGCGTCGCCAATTCTCTCGCCCAGTCCGGTACTGAACCCCCGGGGTACTCCGAACTTCTTAGTAATCAACCGGGGGGGGACAAGCGTGAAAACGCGGAGCGGCCAACCCCCCTGGCACCAACCCCGCGCCCCAGCGGGGAAGGGAACGAACCCCAGACCCCCCCTGGCACCACCGCGGACGCGCCGCGGCCAACCCCCCCAGGCACTCCAAGGGGGGGGCGATTATTCAGCGATCGAGAGTACCGCGCGCCAGCGCAACTGCCAAACTCAAACGCCCTGAGGTGGTATGACACGCTCCATGAGGGAACAAGGCGCGAAGAGAAGACATGCGAGCGGGAAGATGACCACCAATGGCCGAGCTGATCGCTCGCACCTATCACACACCAGCTTTCCGAACCCGGGCTCCTGGTTGGGTCCGCAGCAGCAGGATCAGAACAGCGACTTGCCCGCTGGCATGTGGAGGAAATGATGGCACTCGCTGCATACGAATGGGGCGGGCATGCGCGCGCGCGGGGGGGCCCACGCTGGGCTGCACCGGGATCGCGGCGGTGGCCCGCCCGAGCACTGTCAGCTCGCCTGCCCGCCGGCGGCAACCACTCTCGGCAGCTGCGCGGGGACCCGCCGCGGCGCGCGGCGCGGGAGGGTGCGGCCACTGGCTTCTCCTTCTCAGTACCCCTCCTGGCCATCCTCTTGGCGGCGCGCACGAGGGAGTGGCGCGAGGGCGGGGGGGGGGCTTCTGAGAGGGCCGGGGCGCTTCTTAGACGGCGGCGGCCTCTTTAGCAGGGCCCAGAAGCTTTCCAGGAAGCCTACTCGAAGCCTGGAGGGTTCCTAAGCCCCCTGCCTTCTCAGGAGCCCTCCAGCTTCCTTACAAGGCCATCCCCTCACGCCACCCCCTCGCGCGGGCCGCCAGTCCTCCTCAGGCAGC